AGAGCACATTTGCCCTTCCTCTGTTCTTAGTAATTGGGTGGGATACGATGAACCTTCACGGTTTTTGCAATAGCATCTAGTGAAATTTTGAAGTAGATTTCCCCCTCTCTCCCCACTGTTTCAAGCTTCTGGCTGGCTCGCTCCAGTCCACTCCCCACTCCCCACCATTTTCTGTGCTTTCTCCTTACCTCCTGCATTGCTGCCTTAAGCAGGTTTGTAAAAAGCTGGCAGAGCAGTAAGGTAAAAGGGGGCTGCAGCAGACATTTGCCACGTTTCCGCAACTGACAACAGTCATATAAAGTTGAAGGCAAAACATAAGGTAAAATGGGTGTAGAGTCTGTGTTGAACTGTAAGCACTCTTTGGTAGCGGTGGGCATGTTAAAAACTGTATTAGATTAGATAACAAGGCACTTGAGCAGAAAGTTTCTGTTCATCTCAGTGAAATGTTATGGTTTAAATGAGGGAATGCAGACCTCTAGACTAACTGTTCCTTCAGTCCTGTCTAATACAGCATCAGAAAGATGGCATGCATCAGACTGGTGAGCTAGGTAAGAAAGCATAACTTTATTATTAGTGTGATTTAAAAACAAAATTAATGATTGTTTTGCGTGGAGTGAAACTGTGCCTAGTGTTAAAAAATAACTGCGTTCCCTTTGTCAGGGACTACAGGTGAGGTTGGTTGGGGCAGGGGGGATGTTTGGGTTTTTCCCCCCCCTCACTGTGGACAGTTATTTTCAGACCACTTGACTGACAATCCAAAGAGCAGCTAGATATTTTTATTTTTTGTAAATGCGGTCTTATTGTCTACATAATTCTCTTAGCAGTGAAGTTTTTGAAAGTTTTAGAGGATATATCTCAAGACTCCTAAAAGCCTTGGCTTAGAGTAGCTATCTGCTATATGAGTTTCTGCTGGTGTTGGCCTTCAGGATATCTTTTTTTAAATGGTTTTCCTAGAAGGAAAGGAAACTGGAAGGGATGAAAAAATACAAATTTTCTTTGATAGCATTTACCTTTCCTTTTGGGGGTGATGATGCAGGGCTCTGAAGCAAAAGCAGAAAGGGCTGGTAGGTTGGTGACAAGGAACAGTATAGGAACGTCTCTTCTCAGCCTCTGCCCAAGGCAGTTCATGGTGTTTGGTGGGTTTTTTTTTTTTGCTGTCATTGAGACCAGCAGCAGGAAAGTGAGAATATGCAGAAGGTGGCTTGAATTTAGTGAATTATGTTTCAGGTGTCAGGTGCTGGATGTATGCTGTTGAAAGTGTTGTTATACGAGTGCATGCATAAATCTACTTTAATTGCTTTCATTAAAAAATGTTTAAAATCATAAATACTATAGGTCACAAACAACATAAGACAAAGGAACTAGTACAGTAATAGTTACACACCCACATTTATACTGTAAATCAAATATATGCTGTTATAGAGTAGCAATCCATTAGTTTTAGGAAAGTTAATAAGTATTTCCAAAGAGATGTTGCATTGCTGAGACTATTCTAGGCTAATAGGAAGAGTATTTGAATTGTTCAGCAATAACCTCTTCAGTACTTGTGTCATGACAGCAGATTTCTGAAATATTACTGAGCCAAAGTCACTCTTAATTCCCTTAATGAGTGACACAGTGAGTGAGAGCAATTATCCCCAAATTTAGCTGTTCTTTTATTCTCAAACTGATGTATATTTCCCCCAAATATTAACTGAATGGCTTCTAAACAATCAAACTTCAGTCTTGCGAAACTGCTTGCATGCTATTCAGTTCAGCTATGTTGCTCAGTATTTGTGGTGTGCAACGAACGGCCTGTGCCTATTGTTTTTGTTCCCAGATTAAATCTCTGAAGGCTTTGGCAGTCTCAGGCTCTGTTGAAGTCATTGGGCTCTGAAGATACTCACAACTTTATTATGTTGTTGTGTTAGAATTTTCAAAGGCCTACCCACCAAATATTGTAAATAACAGTAGCAAAACCTTTTCATTTTGTACAAACACTAGCGCGACTTGGAGCCCATTCCATCCTCCAAATGTAAATCCGTTTGAGCAAAGGGTTACCAGAAAAAAGTAACAAGGATATCGAGACCATTGCTCCATAACTACAGGCATTATTTTGCAATATTTTTTGAGCTCTGCAGGGGTTTTCCTGGGATCAGAACTTGGTTGGTTTTAGTAGCAATATTTTCAGTTGTGTCATATGGATTGTTTCATGTTATTAGAGCTAACTGCTGTTATCTGCCATTTCAGAATTGCTAGTTATAGATCTTGCAGCAATGCATTTGTATGCTGTAACCTATAACAAAATGCCTTGTAATTTGAATACCAGCTTTACCCACTGTGAGTCTCTCTGGTATGTATCACTATCCAGGGAACGCGTCTGGGCACCTTTCCTATTTAACCTAGTTGATTGAACATTATGCATCCAGGTGCGTTATTTTCAAAACTTATTCTTGAATGTTTAGGTGTAAACTGTCCCAAGGGAAGCATATAGGTAGTTGCCACTTAAACCAGTTTTGTAGAAATGACACATGGGGATTTTAAGATGACCTTCATGTGTTTTTCCAAAATCCAGCCTACATAGTGCTTTGAGACACGAGTACAATTGGATGCTTTTTCTTGTACAGCTAAAATATACGCCTTTTTTTTTCAATAGATTTGTGTATCTTTCCAGAAAGAACTATTCTTCTTAAGCAGCAGGTAAGGAAAAGAATATGGGTAAAATATTTGGGGAAGAATAGGAAAGGACATTTAATATATTTAATCTTATTATACATTTTTCTACATTAAAGTCAACAGGCTGCAAATATATTCTGCTACAAAGCTTTGTGTAAGAAATATCTCTATAAGAAAATACATCTCATTAAACATTTCCTGTAAATAAATTATCCCAAATAACTATGTTTTGCAAGAGGAAAAAGAGGGGGTAGGCCAATGATAAGAAGAGCTAAAAATTGCTGAGAGCCTATTTCTGCAACCCCCCTGCTCACGCTGGGTATCATTTTCTTTAATATGTAGTCACAATGAGAGCAGTAGAGTTCCTCTGCTGAGTATGTGCTGTGTCAGTGTAAATAACAAACACTTGCAAAATTGGTTCCTGTATGTTTCTAATATCTTGAAATTATGATATTTCTGAGCCTTATTCCTGTTTCAGTTACACTGGAAAAACTCTGAAATAAGCGGAGTTGCAATGATAGGACTGCAAGATAAAACTCTGACTGAGACTATTAAAAAAGAGAAGACCCTGCCTTTGAGCAGTCCCTCTAGGTCAATAAAAACTAACTTCAGTAGGGAAAGAGGCATGTGAACTACTACTCTTATTCAGACTCTTATGAAAGAGAAAGGCAACGTAGCTGAGGTCTGTGTTCTAATTAGGAAGTCTGAGTCAGGTGGTGTAGCTAAGCTATAGCTTTAAAACAACCACTGGTGGAGACATGTCAGTGGAAAAAGGTGTCTTAGGTATGCATGACATGGTCTTCAAAGTTAAACTACATACTGGTGTACCCGCATTGTTCAGAACTGATTAAACAGAAAAGTCCCTTGTATTACAAAACATGAAAATGGGTAATTACAACTTAGCAGTAGGTCAGTCATAGAATCAGACTTCTTCAAAGAAATATCAGTCTCTTTACCAATGTCTATACAAAGGAATACTTGCAAATAAGTAAAATGAAAAAAGTTTGAAAAGACCTGGGAGACAAGTCAAGGGATAGAGACTGTCCCTTTTTTAACCTGTACACAAACAATGTAGAGTTGTCAGCTGTTTCCACAGTCCATGTACTTCCATCATTCCTGGCAGAACAGTCCAGATTGAGAGGACATCAAGTTCAGGCTGAATACGTGCTGGAGGCTGGTATGCTGTGACGTCACGTGATGTTTAACAAGTCATTTGCGGACGTACCATCTTACATCCTTTTCTGCAGGAGAGGAGGTGCTCACAAAAACCAACTCCTTTTTCTTTGCTGCCTCTAAGAAACAAATCTGTTATACTTCTGCAGAGTGCCATCAGTAGCCTGTCGCTACTAACACAATGTAAAAATTTGAGTTTGTAGCAGTATGCTCTAAACACCTCAAAAAATGTCTACATCATCTGTTTTAACAGCAACAGTTACACAACTTCATAGCTCTTCGTGTTAGGCACTTCAACGCTCTGCTATTTCTTTTGGAAATGTCTATAATGCAAGTATGCTTACGCAAAGTAAGTATATTTAGGACTAATGAGCAACTGCCTGTATATAATTCTGGATTCAGCATGCACATATTTGCTTCATCTGTTCAACCCAATGTATACTAGCAGTAAACTGAGGCAAATACAAGCGATTAAGAGCCCTACTATGACATTGAACTACATAAAGCATTTCAATTTACCTATGTATAGGAAACAAAACCCTGTTTAAATGCCTCCTCTTAGAGAAACTGCTGCTTTCTTGAAATTGTGAGATGGCAAGTTTTCACCTCTTTCATGAGGGCCTGCAAAACATAGCACTCTTGTCCTGCAGGAGTGCTTTCTTTGCTGAAGTGTCAGCCCTGAATGACAAAGGCGTGTGGACATTCACAGTAACTTTATTTCCATTTCTCACACCTGCAACGTGACCAATAATGAGCTGACAGATGAGTCTTCCTGGCATGCACTGCTTCCTATAGGAGTACAATGTATACAATTTATTTAGCAGTCATTACCACGCTGGAAACCCACTGTAGCCCTGACACTGAACCCCTGAAACATCACAGGACAACACAGCAAGGTAAGTGACATTAATTTCCACTGTACTTGTTGGCATACTAGCATTTCCTACAAACTGTAGAAGTTATTTACAGAAGAGCTGCACAGTAGGAGAACTCCAGCTGCACTTGTGTTTACCACCAGCTCAAAAAGAAATGCACTTGGTGTGATTTCTACTCCTACCCTAACTGTTACTTTAGCCATTCCGCTTTCATTTGCAGTCCTCATTTCCCACCATGCCATAATGCATTAAATACATAAAGCCACAGTCACTTAATACTATCTTCCCAATACTCATTCAGATTTTCTGGCACACGTGAAGTCTTGATTTAGAAGAGGAGGTTGCATCTTTCCATACTTTGCAAGACAGCCCTTTGGCACAGTCACATCGTTGGAAAATCTCCAGTCCATGGGACCCTTTCTTGCGCTGTTTGGTGCACACCTCCCCCTGATGCAACACAGGCTTGCAAATTTTGGTCCAGAAATGGCGAGCACAGCAGTGTCCCTCAATACAATCTGATGACCGTAGGCAGGGATCGCCTTCATGTCCTAAAAAGAGCAACCAAACTATTTTACCTCATGGGAAAACGTGAAAGTACAGATTCAGTGCAGACTGATGCAAATGAAGCTCAGAAAAGGGAGAGATGATATTTCCATCTGTGGCTATTTGAAGGATGTAAACACAAGGGAAGATATGAATAAGGAAGGTTCAAGGGGGTAATTAATGAGACCTGCCATAAGACTTAGTAAGGAGAAATTCAGCTACAGGATTATAAGCAGAATTACAAGTGCTTAATTACATGACTGTTACAAGAGGAGGATGGGTGCAATCCTGCACAACTGAAAAATGGATTGTCAGTCCACCTCTGACATAGAGAAGAAAGCAGATGCTGTTTCAATCACAGGAACTACTGGTTGATGTTACACCACTTTTTGAGTCATGCTGTGAATTCTCACAATAGACGTTCACTCCCTGTGAAATTATTGCCTATTTCTGGTTTGCATTGCTGTATCTTAACAGCAATAACATGATTCATAACATGAAGGAACAAAGCAGTGTAGTGCAAATGTGATCTTACCTTTTATGTGTGACAGCTTGGAGCGCGGCCTCCCTAGGTTTTGCCATCCCAAATCCTTGCTAGCATAATGACCGTTCTTCTTGTTGCGTGGCCCTTCTAGAGCAGGGATGTGAGCTGTAAGGATGCTTTCAGTTACTGGTATGCAAATACCTGCAAGGAAAAGACAGTTGGTCAAAGATTTGAACAAGAAGAAAAGCAGCCGAGACGCATACACAAACCAGGATCAGGACCAGGACCATGAATGTGCTGGGGCTTGGCCTCAGTGACACTCAGCTCTAATCACACCTCTGTCCCTGATCCCTGGCACCTAACTTCACCTCAGCTCTGCTTCACTCACTGTCAAACAGTCAAACAGTCTCACTGTGACACTGGCTTTATGGTCTGAGCACCTGGAGACTGCCTTGTAGACATCTCTCTCCAGAGGAGAGTATGGGAATGCAAACAGTATGGTTATAACCCCCCCCCCCAGGGAGAGCAGATCAAGGATTCATTAAGTCTCTTTTGCTTCCTTAAAAATATGGGTTCTGTGCAGTCTCCAGTGAATCAAACCACATTGAATGTAAGTGCTATGATTTCAGTCAGCAGCAGCAGCATTTTGGGGTTTCCCCACCCCAAAATGGGAAAAAGTCTGGTAGTACACAAGCCTTAAACATAGAAATACTGTTAAAGAGAATGAAGCGGAGTGGAATGAAGTAGGAAGTGAAGTTTTCTTGGTTTAGAAAAAGAAGCACAGTCACCCAGAAAAAAATACGGTTGCTGGGAACACTCAGAGAAATAGATGCTATCAAAATGCTGATTTTATGGAGGAAAACCAAGAAATGACTGATGTACCATTGTTGCAGCGGTTCCCAGGGCAGCACATGCCATCTCTGTGGCAACGCTTCTTCTTCCTCCGGCACATCATGCATGCAGACGTTGCTTGATGAGGACTGTGACAGTATCGCCCAACTTCGCATTCCTTATCATTGGTACAAGGATAGGCCTGGTGGGTAAAAGAAAGGTTTACAGTGAAGCACTGCTTTGTACAAGGCATGTATGCAGGCCATTAAAAAAAAAACCACCACCAAAACACCACCGAATCCCCCCGACAACCAAAGAGACCAACAGTTGAGATACCATTCACTGGGGCCAGGAGATGCAGGTAGGGATGCTTCACTGCAGCCATATAGCAATCTTTAAGCTCACACTCCTGGTGAAGATGTTATCTGCTTAAAGAATCAGGGAGATACAACCAGCTCCCTGGTGGTTTCATCTTTTCTTGCCTCAAACGTATGTTGGCCCAAGAGAACTCACATTTTTGTGGGTTCAGGCCTCTGATTCATAGACAAGAGCTTAAAACTCCACAGTGAGGAATAAACAGAGCCATAAAATTCCTCTCAGTCAGTAAAAATCCTGAAACACACCCTGAAATAGGTAACATTTTAATTTAAACTCCAAGGAGGCATTTTCCTTTGATAGTTGTCAAGCACACTGATGAATAATAAGTTCACTGTTCTCACAGTGAACATCTACACCACATTGGTACAAGCTCCTTTGCAATTGCACCACTCCCCACTGGCCCACACCAGTTGGACCCCTTGGAAGTGAACAAACATCACTGGTCAGCATTTCACTTTGATACCCTTTACTTCGCTTATGGGCTTAGTATACTCCTTAAACTTGCCACCTGCTAAACAACACCCTATGGTATGCAGCCTGGAATATATTATAGAGCACAAACTGTCTTGCACATATAATTCCCTGCAAGCAGACACACGTATACGATTCTTCTATGTTCATCAAAACCACATTATCTTAGAGGAAAACTGACTTTTAAAAAAAGGGTGTGAAAGCACTGTATTCTCCCATAAAGAGAGAGAAAGAAAAGTTTATTCCTACAAGAGGAAAAGACATGATGCCTTAAGGAAACATAACAACACACACCGCCACGTTCCAGGATCCTTTCTGCTGATTCCCACACAGCTACAACTATGCTCTCTGTCTGCATCTAATTTTACTGCCTATTAAATTAATCATAGATTTTTTTTTTTCATTTTTCAAAATTATACTTGAGGAATTTTTTTTGATAAAAAGATGAGAATAAATTTTGGGCACTTTCTGGAAAATGATGTTTATACTTCCTCACCTAATTTCCTCCAGCATTTTAAATAAATCAAAGTTTTGCTCTTACTGTTTTCAAAATGACTCTTGCAATTAATTATTCACCACAAACAAAAAGCTCAACTGACTAATTTTCAATGCAGGCTGATTACTTTTCTAATAATATTTTAAATCAAGTCTTGATTATATTGTTCTCAGAAAAGAAAACCTTGGAGGCTGTTGAGAATTTGCTCTGAAAGTTTTTCTTTTAGATGGAGAACTCTTGTTTCTCTGTCTTTGTGCCATTCTGTTGAGAATTGCAGAAGAAACAAGAGGTCTGATAACAAAACCAAGCAAGTTTCTCTAGTGCCATTAGTGGGAGGGGGAACCATGCCATTTCCTATGTGATTTCATTAGCTGTTTTCTTTGTCAAAACTTACTTTACAGTACCAAAAGCACTGGCTGGATATTTCCCAAGTGCTGCTGCCCCATTACTTCTGCCCTCTGAATATGTGTCTTTGAAGAATGATTCCAGAGTGCAGCTGCGTGGAGTAACCTGATGTATGTGTAAGTCTTTCTCCCTTAAGAATAAACACTTCCTCTTGAGTTCATCCTCGAGAGGATGCTTGAACGTCAAAGAAGGCCAGATCTTTTAGCTAGGAGTAACAATAAGAGACAAATGCAAGCACTCACCTGTTTGGTACTCTTAAGGCATAAGTGGATTCTACCTATTCTAGCAAAGCGGAACTAAAGTGCTCTTCCCTCAATCTCATCACTCCTTTCCCTCATTTTTCCAGCAAGAAATCGTTAACGCTGGCTTACAATTTATGATATAGTTACCATAAAAGTAAGGCTTCCCTGATTTAAATGAGATCTTACTAAACTAAGGATCTTACAATGCAGAAAAGCGATTTTTTATAGACCTGTGCATGGTTATACTGAGTTTGGAAAATACTAACACTGCTAGCTGGGGGAAATGCAAATAAAAAACAGATGAACTAGCTAAAACCTGGAGATGAAGGCATTTTAGACCCTTGTCTGTCATCAAGACCTTCATAACCGCATCTTTTTTCCAATACGGGCATGTGGTATACACCTGCAACTTGTCAGCAAGAAGCCTACTTGCAGTTTTCTTTTAGTTCCTCAAATAGCTTTTAAAAAAATGAGTTCCCTGATCCTGAATGGTGCTAATGAATGCTCTCACATACCATATCTAGTGTCTGTTTTACTTTTGGCTTTTAAGCTGAATGACATGTAAAAGACATTTCAAGATACGCATCTAACTGCAAACTCCCAGCTCTGTCTTTAAGAATGGTAAAAGTAACAAAAGACAATTTTGACATTAAAAATTGTCAAGGAAAGTGACATAACTCAGCCTTTAGTCCCACTCTAGAGCCCCATCCTAAATAAAGATGACACTTTTGAAATGAAAAAATAAGCCAAAATATTCACCTACCTAAGGCAAATGACTGCAGCACATCAAAAAATAGTTTTGTGTTACATGTAGCTCAGACAACAACTGGCAAGTCCATTCAAAACCCCAAAAGACCAGCTGCCAGCCAGCTATATGAAGAACCCTCTTGCAAACGCCCGATGCCATCAATTGCCTTGATCTTTCTTCCAAAACCACCATCTATTTGATATCCTAGCTATCAGTCACAGGGAGCTTGAAACAAAAATGCCTACATAGCCTTGTGTCTGTCTCCTAGTCACCAGACTTTCATTGGAATAACTCCTGCTCCCAGCAAAGTAATTTCTATCACTGCGCAGCATTCAGTATTAAACCACAAAAATAAAACAAAATAATATAGTGTGTACATAGCCTTGGCTAACGGGGGAGAATGTGTTCATAATTGTCCCATTGTTGGCAGTAGCTGAGCCAGTCTATGTATAAATATGTATATATTTTTAAAAATACAGGATAAAGAAAACATACTTGTAAAAATGTACATGCTAACAATTGTCTATGCATGAGTCAAGGTTTTCAAAATCTCCTACACCACAGTGCCTGAAACATGGTCTTTACTTTTAGAGAATTGCAGGGAACATTTCCTATATACAACGCAAAGACACAAATCAGTCCCAGATGGAGAGGGAAAAAGCAAGCTGTAAACCAGCTCTACTTCCCCAGCAATGATAACTAATTCTACAAGGCACATCATCCCTTCACATTCTTCAGCTATACATATCATTTTCTGGTCGTAAATCTCTATCCACTAAACACAGCTTTGATATTATGGGAAACCAGATGAAACCGAGATAAAATATGTAGCACTCCCTGAAGCTGCATTTAAGCAATCTTACCTAATTTTTTTAGCGCAGATTACAGGCGATCAAGTCACCTGTAGCATGACATAAACTAGATTTGCCTGTGATAATGAGTCACATTTTCAGAATGTGTTGTCTGATTAAGGGCATTGCTTGCTGAGATGTTTTCTCCTCCGTCATTCCAAATACTTTTGTATCCTCGTACAAAAGATACCATTGAATGTGTGTCCAAAAATGTACAGCAAAGGTGTACTGCATTTTTTGCAATGTTGGAGGATTCAGACTAGATATTTAAATGGCTGCTGCTCAATGCTGTGCCAGGATGTCCCCTGCATCAGTGCACCAAGACTAACCTTTGCCAGCCAAGTCATAGCAACACGTAAATGCTAAACTTTTCTTTTTGAGAGAGAGAATATGAATCTCCATTCCTGCTCTTCCTGAATTTATATTCAAAATGCCAAGAGCGCGTAATAGAAATAGTCAAGGAAAACAATGCAGATGATAGAGGAGAAAAGTTGGAGGTTTTTATAGTTGAACAAGTCCTTCCAGGAGTAGTACTGAGGTGCTTCCTTTTGTATTAACTTCACAGTGAGGCTGAGGAAGGGACTGACTAACTTTTGTGACTAAGTGGCTAACACCATTCTCTTGGTTTGAGGAGCGTGCAGGAGTGAGGTTTATTTCTACCTTTGTCTTCCCCTTTTGGCAGAGGAGATCTAACTTAGCACCTTTTCTCGGTGCAATGAGGTTTACTTGATATTTTTGCTGGTGTCATTTACTATCCCACATATTTTATATAGTCATCCTGAACCACAGAGTTTCACCACAAGCTGGAGCAATACTAAGTGGTGGGACTGTTGTGCTATGGAATCAGTCAGTCCGAGTCTCTCTGTCTGGCACTATAAAACGTAATGGAGAAGCACTCCAGGGGGAGAGTAAGACAGATGCTATAATGTGCTGAAGGGTGAGTGAGTAGACTGATGGCAGACACACTTTATTGAGCTTTGGGAGATAAGGGCTTGAATTTCAGCATGGCCTCCAGCAAATATTTGAAGACAATATTCCCGGCCAGTGTCTTAGTCATCAGGCTCTCATTTGCTCATGTTATGATGTCTCATTTGTTTTTATGCTGAGGCTACTCCACGCTGTACTAGCTAACTATGTCAGAGAAAGGCAGGAAGAGCCACTGGCATTTTTACCTAGGCTGTGTCATCACTTATTCAGCACAAGTAGTCCTAGACACTGCTGGCTTCAGACCCACCTTTAACGCTGAGAGGAGCTGTGCCTAAATAAGTGATTTGGTGGAACAGATCAGTAGTGACTCCCCCGGAAGCAGTTAACTTTTTTTTCTTTTAAACACATCATAAAGTCCAAGTGCAGAGTCGGTCCTGGCAGGACATCATGGCTACTACCACTCCCAGCAGAAGAAACCGCATGGAGGTTATTCATTACCCTTTTAACTGTGGATGCTGAGCGGCACTCAAGAAGGGAACTAAAGTCTCATGTACCACATAAATGACAATATCACTGCAGTTACTGTACTGGACACTCGGCCAGCTTCTGTCTCATACAATCATCCCGTGATGGTACTGGGGACTGAGCTTAAGAACAGCAGAAAAGCCACAGCCAGTTGTACAG